TTGATTGGTGTGTTGATTAGTGCTCGTCAGGAGGTGCATGTTAGCCTAGCTTAGGTTTAGGGAACCTACTCGCTGAGATTTATTCTCACCGTTGTTGAAACCCAATTTTTCAGACCCCCGGCCTTGAGATGTCTGCAGTACCTGTTCGTTTTGGGATTCCTTACCGGATAGACCGGGAGGAGTCGGTGTACCCCGCAGGGAACGGGGATTTTTGGGTTAGATACCTGTCTACAGTTCGGGTCGATGCGGGCGAAGATGTTGACCAGGTCCATAGATATATAGCGTGGTGTATCAGGGACCATGAGGGGACCTACGGGCCTCTCCGATCCTTTGAGGTTCCACTTACCGATTCGGGGGATGTTGACCCTCAGTGCCCTGATAGAGAGTTGCTGAGCCCTGATCGGGTACCGGAGGATGGGGATTCAGGTCCGGAGCCGATGGATTCGGAGGACGAGGAACCAGAGCCCATGGAGCAGGATATGGTGCAGGAGGACGAAGCCGAGCCGATGGATTCCGAGGAGGAGTCAGCTGGGGCCGAGTCCGAGCAGGATTCCCTAGACTCGGAGGCTGAGATGTCTGATAACTCTTTCGAGTCATCGGGATCCGACTCAGACTGGGTTCCGTAGGTTTAGCCCTTAGTCCTAGATAGAGAGGGCCAATACCTTTTTGACCGAAGCCCATCTAGTTTTAGTAACCCTGATTACCCGGGCCACTTACCCCTTTTTGATAGTAGTGGCCATTGACCCGCTTTTGATTTTTTGAGGTTCGTGCTGTATATGAATATTGTATATGTTCTCCCTGGCAATGCAAGTGTGTAATTGTTCATGTTGATGGTTATGCGGCTATCCTTGGTTATGTGATTTATAGTTCGGGTGTTTGCTATTTCCGTTGTGCTTTGTTCTCTGTCGTTTGGGCGTTGGGTCGGCGACGCGTCCTGGGACGTCGCATCGAATCGACCTTTGCGAGGGATGTAGCGTGCCGTGGGGTTCGGGGCGTGACAGACGATAATGGTGGTTAATTAAGGATGATCCCAAAGTTCGGTGGGAGAACTTTTTGAAGGAGAAAAGTATGTCCGAGGGCAACAAATCTAAGGTTGATTAATATCTTCAAGCTCCGAATGTGAAGATGTTCTTAATCTTGACCTTTGTGGTGGAAAAGTAGTGCTCAAAGTATAAAATCCTATCTCTGTTGTCTTGGGATGTTTCAACTATTCACCTATTTACCATTGCTTTATAGTTGGCTTTTAGTGCATTGGATCATGTGCTTAATGACTTTTTAATGTTGACTCCTAGAGGGGTATAAGCTTTGATTTGCACTCAAGATTGATTGAATACCCTTCCTGTGCCAGTTAATATTGAAAGAGTTCATCGAAAAAGTGGAATAGTTTGAGTTAGATAAGTCATGTATATTTCTTTTTATCTTGTAGTTCCTTTGTATATCTAATAAGTAAATGTTTTGTTTAATCTCTTCTTTTTGTTCAATATGATTTGTCTTACTATCGAGATTATCATTGGTAAATAAAGTTTGCAAGTTGAAATGGGATTAATATGTGTGAGGTTTTCTATTAATTGTTTGAGTTCAATATATTGAAATTTCAATTTAAAACTATTGCTAAGTGATTAATTTTGTTGTTTGTTTTGTTTTCAGGTGGTTAAAACTTGAAAAACTCTCTTAGGGATGAATAGGGAATGAAGTTCTACTATTCATGTTAAGAGCTTTGTGTTTCATATTGTATATTTGACCTTTAGGGCAAGTTTACTGAGATTTTTTGTATAGTTTGTTACTTTGTTTTGGCCAAGAGCCCAAGACTTATGATAATGTTATTGTCCTCTTATGCACATTATGTTATTTGACTTTTGTTATGTGACCACTTGGGCACTCGATGGACGATACATGAAGTATTTTATTTTGTTTATGGGTAAGTTTTATATACAAAATAAATATGCTTAATCCACAAAAAAATAAAAACAGAAGAAAAAAGGTAGACATATCAAGTTGACCTTGGAACCGGCCTATAACAAACCAGTTTGGGTCCAGGTCGGTTCCTTAGTGAACCACTTCTGATATTAGTTTCAAAAATTAGGAACCGACTTTGACAGTGTTCCAAGTTTTTTGTTTGGAACTTACCCATCCTAAAATCAATCACCCCTAGATAGTTCTAATAATCTAGAAATGTTAGAGGAGGATACAAATATCGCTTGTGACAAACAACAGATGGATTAGGCTTGATGTATACAATTACAATTCATGGTTGCTTTTACGCATCGCTTGTTTTAATTTTAATATTTTAATATTATTGTTCAGCTCCTTATGACTCAGATTTTATTTTTTTTGAGAGAGCTTGATTCGATCGTGGCATTGTAAGTGTGCCTTCGTAATATTCATGCTTTATGTATGTTATATATATGGTTATCTCCCGCCAAGTATGCCTTCAAGAGGGTATCCTCCATGAAAAGCCACATGATCTTCTACAATATCTGACCAAAACAATCCAGTGCCTTCAAAGTCTGCTTCATTACTAGCACAACCTACTCCCATCCTTTTCACAACATAGCTTACAAAGCCAGCTTTGACCCCATTGGCTTTCGGTCTCTAATCGAGGACCTATTCTACTACTAAGACCGTTGCTAGTAGCATGGGTAGCAAATTCATTCTCTTACTAGAATATATAAGAGAATATTTAAACTTATTCACCCCGTATGTCCTACTACTCGTTTTTCACGAAGCATTCACCTTCTTGTGAGGACGTGGGAAAGCAAAAAAAGTGTCATTTATGGATTGGGAGAGAGAGTTAAGATATGCATACTCCTTAGAAATTATTATTTATGATATAAGCTATACAAAAAAAATGGGAACTTCTCTTACCTGATTTCTATCAAGGATTTTCGCCCCTCTCTGTAAAAAGTGCTCTGTCAATGCCATTTCTTTAGCTTTCCCACGTCATCTCTTCTTAAAGGCGGAAGCTGCAGTATGACATACATGATGGATAACTCCATATACTTCTATTCATTCTAATAATAAAGAGAATTTCTTACCCTTGATACTAGGAATAGTATTAGCAGTAGAATGGGTTCTCGATTGGGGACAACAAGACTATGGGGCCAAAGCTTACTCCAATTTGAGCTATGTTGTAAAAGCATGGAGGTAGGTTGTGCTAGTAACGAAGCAGACTTTGAAAGCACTGGACTGTTTTGTGTAGTCGTTGAAGATTATGTGGCTTTTGTTCAAGGACGCCCTCTAAAGCCAAACCTGGAAGGAGGAAAACGACGCATCTAACAGATACATTAAGCATTAACAGCTATGAAGGAACAACTACAAAGCCAAATACCGAATCAAGCTCTCCCAAAATCAACAAAGTTTGAACTATACATATGGAACTAAACAATAAGTGAAAATATTGAAATTAAAAATTGATGCCAATACGAAACCATGAATTTCTGTGTGTCACGAATCTATGTCTGTATTGTCTTTGCTCAACAAATATTCCTGATTTGTAAAACTATTTTATGATGTTCCATCTGCAAGTTCCAAGTCACCATTTGCAAGTTTCCATGTCTCTCTCTCTCTAATAAAGTACAGTCATGTTTGCAAGCATGTCAACTTATAAACCAAAGGCCCAATTCCATCATGATATTCTTTTCCTCATAATAACTCTGAGGTAATGTCTCACCCGATGGCAGTGGACTTCATATAGTGATACAACATATCAGCAGCACGGTTCGAAATTCCACTCATCATCTTTAAACAGAAAAATTAGAAAGGAAAGTGAAGTTCTGTATGTATGCTTTTGGACAGCAGAAATGCTCTTGAACGACCTAATATCATGAACATTCATTGGACGAAGTTAATACTCCCAAGGTTCGGGAGATCCAGAAGGATGTCCATTGCTTGGTTGAGAATCATCTTGTTGAGTTGTGCCTTCTATATCAACAGCTTTTACAAACTCTCGACCATAATGTTCCCTCCAAGTGTAATTTCTATCAAAACTATGCATGTACAAGTGATCCTTAACAACTTATATATGCCCAAGTTATAAGTTAAGACATTATCAACATGGGCATCGTGTCCTATTACTTCTATCAGTACGTGCACAGCTGCTTATAACACTACAAAAAAAGCCGGGTTTTGCCACGAAAAATTTCGACAAAATTCGTGGCAAAATGAATTTGCGACGAAATTGGCGACGGAAAAAAATTCGTCGCTAATAGGCCGTCGCAAAATTTTGCCACGGAAAATTCCAATTTTCGTGGCTAATTTGCGACGAAAAAATTCGTCGCTAATTATCCGTGGCAAAATTCGTGGCTAATTTTGCAACGAAAAATAATTCGTGGCAAAATTCGTCGCTAATTATTCGTGGCAAAATTCGTGGCTAATTTGCCACGAATAATATTCACCTTATTTCGTGGCTAATTTCAGCTCATTCCGACAACATTTCACCTTATTTCGACCAAATTTCAAACGAATTTCAACTAAATTTCAACTAAATTTCAACCTAAATTCGACCAAATTGATTATGTTTCGTTCCGTTTCGTGGGTGAACGAAACAGATTGGGTCTGTTTCGCTCACGAACAGAATCAAATTCGTGGGGGAAACAGAAACAGAACCATTCTGTTTCGCCCACGAACAGAATCAAATTCGTGGGCGAAACAGAATGGTTCTCGTTTCTGTTTCGCCCACGAATTTGATTCTCTGTTGTGGGCGAAAGACCCAACTGTTCGCACGTAAGCCAACACAACACCCAACACGAAGCGCCCACGAAAGCCAACACAGAAGCAGAAGCCGAAGCACAGAAGCGCCCACGAAACTGGTTTGTTTCGCACACGAATAGAACCAAATTCGTGGGCGAAACAGACCCAATCTGTTTCGTCCACGAACAGAACGAAGCAGACCCAACACAGAAGCAGAAGCAGAAGCAGAAGCAGACCCAACACAGAAGCAGAAGCAGAAGCAGACCCAACACAGAAGCCAGCCAACACAGGCAGACAGACGCAGACCCAACTCAGAAGCCAGCCAACACAGAAGCAGAAGCACAGAAGCTTAGCAGAAGCAGAAGCGCAGAAGCAGAAGCACAGAGCAGAAGCAGACCCAAACGTAGACCCAACACATACATTGAACAGAAGCATAAGCAGACGCAAACGCCTAGAAATAACGGCGAAAAGCAGACCCAACAGAAGCATACCGAATAGAAGCAGACCGAACCGAATAGAAGCAAACCGAACACTCTCGGACGCCGCCGAAGAACCCAACAGAAGCAGACCGCGCGCTGGGTGTCCTCGCTTCCCAGCGTCCGCCGCCGAAGAACGCCAAGAATCGCGCCGAAGAACGCCGAAGAACTGCAACAGAGACAGAGAAAGAGGGAGAAGACAGAGACAGACAAGAGACAGAGATAGGTTCGATCGTGAGAACAGAAAAGAAGAACCCTAATTTGTACCCGCTCATGAAGACGACGCCGTTTGTTGAATTTTCGCTGAAATTAACCACGGATTTAAAATCATGGCTAAAATCGTGGCAAATTTGCCACGGTTTTACGATTCGTGGCTAAAATCGTGGCAAATTAGCCACGAATATTATTTCGTGGCTAATTTGCCACGGATTTAGCCACGATTTCCAATCCGTGGCTAATTTGCCACGATTTTAGCCACGAATTGTTATTATATCGCGGCAAATTCGAACCGAAATATAAAATTGTCGCGGTAATTTTGGGGTTTTTTTCAAATTCGTGGCTAAATCCGTCGCAAATTTGCCACGGCTTTTTGCCACGAATTTCCTAAAAAACCCTACACACTATTTTTTGTTTTAAAATAATCCGTGGCTAAAATCCGTGGCAAATTTGCCACGGATTTTAGCCACGGATTTCCTAAAAAAGAATACAATAGAATTTTTTTTTAAAAAAAAATCTGTGGCTAAAATCCGTGGCAAATTTGCCACGGATTTTAGCCACGGATTTCCTAAAAAAGAATACAATAGAATTTTTTTAAAAAAAAATCCGTGGCTAAAATCCGTGGCAAATTTGCCACGGATATTTGCCACAATTTCCTAAAAAGAATACAATAGAATTTTTTAAAAAAATCCGTGGCAAAAATCCGTGGCAAATTTGCCACGGATTTTGCCACGAATTTTCCTAAAAAGAATACAATAGAAATTTTTTTAAAAAAAAATCCGTGGCTAAAATCCGTGGCAAATTTGCCACGAATTTTTGCCACGGATTTCCTAAAAAAGAATACAATAGAATTTTTTTTTAATTTAAAAAAAATCCATGGCTAAAATCCGTGGCAAATTTGCCACGGATTTCCTAAAAAAGAATACAATAGAATTTTTTTTTAAAAAAAAATCCGTGGCTAAAATCCGTGGCAAATTTGCCACGGATTTTTGCCACGAATTTCCTAAAAAAGAATACAATAGAATTTTTTTTTAAAAAAAATCCGTGGCTAAAATCCGTGGCAAATTTGCCACGGATTTTAGCCACGAATTTCCTAAAAAAGAATACAATAGAAATTTTTTTTAAAAAAAATCCGTGGCTAAAATCCGTGGCAAATTTGCCACGGATTTTTGCCACGAATTTCCTAAAAAAGAATAGAATAGAATTTTTTTTTAATTTAAAAAAAATCTGTGGCTAAAATCCGTGGCAAATTTGCCACGGATTTTAGCCACGGATTTCCTAAAAAAGAATACAATAGATTTTTTTTAAAAAAAAAATCCGTGGCTAAAATCCGTGGCAAATTTGCCACGGATATTTGCCACGAATTTCCTAAAAAAGAATACAATAGAATTTTTTTAAAAAAAAATCCGTGGCAAAAATCCGTGGCAAATTTGCCACGGATTTTTGCCACGAATTTTCCTAAAAAAGAATACAATAGAAATTTTTTTTAAAAAAAATCCGTGGCTAAAATCCGTGGCAAATTTGCCACGAATTTTTGCCACGGATTTCCTAAAAAAGAATACAATAGAATTTTTTTTTAATTTAAAAAAAATCCATGGCTAAAATCCGTGGCAAATTTGCCACGGATTTCCTAAAAAAGAATACAATAGATTTTTTTTTTAAAAAAAAATCCGTGGCTAAAATCCGTGGCAAATTTGCCACGGATTTTTGCCACGAATTTCCCAAAAAAAGAATACAATAGAATTTTTTTTTAAAAAAAATCCGTGGCAAATTTGCCACGGATTTTAGCCACGGATTTTTTTTAAATTAAAAAAAAATTCTATTGTATTCTTTTTTAGGAAATTCGTGGCTCAACTCCGTGGCAAATTTGCCACGGATTTTAGCCACGGATTTTTTAAAAAAAAAATCTATTGTATTCTTTTTTAGGAAATCCGTGGCAAATTTGCCACGGATTTTTGCCACGAATTTCCTAAAAAAGAATACAATAGAATTTTTTTTAAAAAAAATCCGTGGCAAAAATCCGTGGCAAATTTGCCACGAATTTTTGCCACGGATTTCCTAAAAAGGAATATAATAGAATTTTTTTTTAAAAAAAATCCGTGGCTAAAATCCGTGGCAAATTTGCCACGGATTTTTGCCACGAATTTCCTAAAAAAGAATACAATAGAATTTTTTTTTAAAAAAAAATCCGTGGCTAAAATCCGTGGCAAATTTGCCACGAATTTTTGCCACGAATTTCCTAAAAAAAGCCTAAATCATGCATACGGCCTTTGTTTACGAAATCCGTGGTAAATTGCCACGGATTTTTGCCACGAATTTCCTAAAATTAATTTTTGGCTTTTCATGAAAAATTACTTAGCCTTGTGAGTGGGATTTTTTCATGAAATTCGTGGCTAAATTTCGTGGCAAATTTTCCACTGATTTTAGCCACGAATTTCATTTCTACTATACCACACTCTCGTAATTCTTTTTTTTTTCCGGACAATGACGTTTCATTAACAATAATAGCAATAATAATATTCAACAACAATTACAATAATAATAATAATAATAACTACCACAACAACAACAACAACAACAACAATACTAATAATTACAGCAACAACAACAATAATAAATATGACAACAACAATAAACTTTGTCATAATAATAATAATAATTACGACATAATTAGTAAAAAGTCTCAAAAATCTAAATCTTCGTCTTCACCTTCGTCTTCATCTTGATCTTAATCTTCTTGTTCAGCATCATCGTCATCATCGTCGTCGTCGTCATCGTCATCATCATCGTCATCGTCGTCGTCATCATCATCATCATCATCATCATCATCATCATCCTTTGTCTGAAAATCAGCTTCTGCAACACCTTCTAAATTTGATTCGCGAATTTCAGTTAGATCTACATCTATCATTGCTCCACATGGATCTCGTAGAGTAGGAATGTTATATTCCTCAGTTTGAACCGCATTATAAACTTCCTCTTGTTGATATGCTGTATCCTTCCGGTGTTCCTCGATTTTTCTTCGTGCTTTGGTTTTACATACAGCCCACCAATCAGCTTTGTCACGTTTCAAACTAGGATATGATGCATAATATACTTGAATTGCTTGTTGTGCCAACACAAATGGTTCATATTTCTTATACCTTTTCTTGTGATTTATTTCAACCAAATTAAACTTCGTATGTACCTTCGTTCCTTTGACGGGGTCGAACCACATGCACTTAAATAACACAACCCGCATTGATGGTCCGGGGTACTCTATCTCGATGATTTCATCCAACAAGCCATAAAAATCATCTTTTGAACTACCACAATTGGATGACCGAACACACACACCACTATTCATTGTGGCTTTTTCCATTCCATATTCTCGAGTGTGAAAATTGTACCCGTTTATGAAATATGCTGGCCAGCTTCGTATGCTTGACTGTGGACCCCATGACAGATAATATAGTAATCCTTGCTCTTCAACTTGATCATGATTACTGTGAACCTAAGATTACACACGCAAAGTCAATAATATATATTTAAATGATGTATAAAATATTAATAACTTGGTTTTGGTCTATAGGCAACTTACATATGTTTTGAACCATGCTGCAAATTGTTCATCGCACAAACGGTCGAACTCATTTGGTGGTAGTCCATACATTGAATTTTGAAAAATCCTATTAACAATTTACATTTAAATATTAGTAAATATTTGACACGCAATACATATATTTGCAAAAATATACACTTACTGGAAGTATGGCTCCACTTCTGGACAGTTCAGTAAAATATAGGTATGGACGGCCTGCCGTTCTTCGCCTGTTAAGTAACGAAACTGACATGCGCCGCTTGGTCGATCGAGATAATTGAAAATAGAGAATGATTTGCAATTGGGATCGATGGGACCCTCATCATTTCTTCCTGCTCTCCGCCTCTTGCACTGCACGTGCGGCTCAAAATAGTATGATGCAAATGTTGTCACTTCTTCCACAATATATGCATTACAAATTGAAGCTTCAACACATGCCTTATTCTTCACTTTTTTCTTCAAATGATATAAGAACCTTGTTGCAATAGAAAGAAGTTTATCAGAACATAATATATAATAAAGTATTTTGAATTTTATTTTGAAAAAAATTTTACCTCTCAAATGGATACATCCATCGAAATTGGACGGGACCTGCAACTTTAGCCTCATAAGGCAAGTGAACTAGGAGATGCTCCATTGAATCAAAAAACGCTGGAGGAAATATCCTTTCTAAATTGCAAAGAATAATTGGAATGTCTCTCTCCAGTTTCTCCATGTGTGATACTTTTAACACTGTTGAGCAAATATCATGGAGGAAATTACTTAACTCTGTAATGGCGCCCCATACAAAGTTTGGTAGAAGTTCCTTCAAAGCTATTGGAATTAGTCTTTCCATAAATATGTGACAATCATGACTCTTTAATCCTGTCAACTTGCATTCGTTCAAATCAACACATCTCCCGATGTTCGAAGCATATCCATCAGGAAACCGCACAGATTTCAACCATTGACAAACGACTCGTCTCTGCTCCTTATCCAATGTATAAACTGCTTTTGGTTTTGGTCCCCTGCTGCTTGCATCCACATCTAATGTTGGCCGATCACAAATATCTCTCATATCTTTTCTTGCATTCAAGTTGTCTTTTGTTTTTCCCGTGACATCCATCACAGTATTTATGACATTGTCGAAAACATTCTTTTCAATGTGCATAACGTCAAGATTATGATGAATAAGATGAGCTTTCCAATATGGTAGATCCCAAAATATACTGCGTTTAGTCCACTTATGTGCACTTCCGTACGCAATAGTTGTGCCATGAGGGTTTTCAACAACAGTTGGAAAGTCCTGCACTCGCTCCCATATTTGATCACCAGTCAATCTCAATGGTGGAGGAGTTCTTTCAATCCTATTCTTCATGAACTCTTTTTTATTCCTTCTGAATGTATAATTCATCGGCAAAATTTGTCTGTGACAGTCAAAATAGCAAGGCTTCTTACCATGTCTTAATCTGAATGACTTCGACATCTCCAAACATATCGGACATCCTAAGATCCCAGCTGTACTCCATCCAGATAACATTCCATAAGCTGGAAAGTCATTTATCGTCCAAAGAAGAGCAGCCTTCATTACAAATGTTTGATTAGTAGAAACATCATACGTAACGACACATTCATTCCATAGCCGTTGTAACTCTTCAATCAATGGTTGCATATAAACATCTATCAACTTTTTCGGATTTTGCGGCCCGGTCACGATCAATGTCAAAAACATATAAGGTGTCTTCATGCACATACCGGGTGGAAGATTGTACGGAGTTAAGATAACTGGCCAACATGAATAACTTTTCCCTGATTTTCCAAATGGGGCAAATCCATCAGCACAGAGACCTAACCTAATATTTCGAGGCTCTATCGCAAATTCAGGGTATGTTCTATCAAAATGTTTCCATGCCTCTGCATCTGAAGGATGACACATTAGACCCTCTTCTGTTTCATGATTTGCATGCCAAGTCATGTGTTCAGCAGTGGCTTGAGACGCATAAAGCCTTTGTAATATGGGGATTAAGGGCAGATAAAACATTTGCTTGCATGGTCTACGCTTCTGATTACGACCTTGCCTCCTCTGTTCCTGTTAATCTTGTACCTAGGTTGGCTACAGAATTTGCAAGATTCTGCATTTTCATCATCTCTCCAATATAACATACAACCCCTACTACATACATCAATCCTTTCAACTGGAAGACCTAAGTTATCCACTAACTTCTTCATATCGTAAAAATCACTTGGCATTATGTTATCAGGAGGCATTGCTTCTCGCATTACTTCAACAAAAGAGTTAAAGCAATTCTCAGACACATTATGCTCTGCCTTGATATTTAACAATCTTGCTGTCGCTGATAACTGAGTATGATTGTCACAACCTGCCCATAAAGGTTCATCTGCTGCTTTCAACACTTCCCAGAACTGATTAGATGGAAATGTTTCATTACACACATTCTCATCAAAACTTGTTACTCCTATCTCTTCAAATTGTTCAAGTCTTGGAGTAAAACTAGTACTTGCATGGTTTGGATCTGAATTATGACCAGCTGCATCAATCACCATCCTCTGGTATGGGTTCATTTGGTCATAATAGCTACATTCTTCCCTAACTGAAAATTGGTCACTTATTCGATATCCTTCATCAGATATAAATGGTTCACCATGACAAGTCCAATTATAGTAGTTCGGAGTAAACCCAAATCTACAAAGATGTTCTCTAACTGTATCACATACATGAAATTTACCATTACTGTACTTTCTACACGGACACCTTAACTTATTTCCATCCATCAACTCATATTTACTACTAGCAAAGTCCAAAAATAGTTCCAACCCAGTACAAAACTCATCGGTCAATCCTCGACGTCCAGGTAAGTTCTTATTATACATCCAAGCCCTGTCTCTTTGCATTGTCTATATAAAAAAAACAAAATCTCGTAAAATATTAATGCCAAAAAATTTTCGATATTAAAACCATAAAATTCTAAAAATTAAAATTTTATTTTTGCCTAAACAATTATTTTGAAATTGAAAAAATTAAAATAATTGACTTACCAAGTATTTGATTGAAATCTTTGTAGTACAAAGTGCTCAATTTGATGAGAATTGCAACGTTCACTTCATCCGCGAGACTTTCAAACGAATACGTACCTACAAAAAAAATTGACTTCAGATTTTATTTTTTTATAATAATTTTTTTTTCGAATTTTTTTCCCAAATTTTTTTTCCTTCATTTTTTTCTCCGGTCGCCGGTCCGGCGACCGGCGACCGGCCGGCGAGTTGGACCTCGCCGGCCATGGCCAGATCTGGACCTCGCCGGCCATATCCGGACCTCGCGGCGAGGTCCGGCGGCGCTGCTCGACCTCCTCGCCGCGAGGTCCGGCGGCGGCCATGGCCGCTCGACCTCACCGCGAGGTCCGGCGCCGGGCCATGGCCGCTCGACCTCGCCGCGAGGTCCAGCGCCGGCCCCATGGCGAGGCCGCTCGACCTCGCCGCGAGGTCCGGCGCCGGGCCCCATGGCGAGGCCGCTCGGCCTCGCCCAGATCTGGGCGAGGTCCAGCGGCCCCGCCCATGGCCGGCGAGCCTCGCCGGTCGCCGGTCGCCGGTTGCCGGACCGGCGACTGGCGACGAAGTCAGAAAAAAAAAAGAGAAAAAAAAAACTCAATAAAATAACAAAAAATTGAAAATAGTTTTGCCCAAATTAATCACACCACTTACCAGTAGAAAAGGTTCACCGAGATAGATTTTTATGCGTGCGGAGAGATTTATCGAGAGGAAGGGATAACAGCGAATAGGGAGAGGAAGGGAGAACAGCTAATAGGGATAAGAGGAATTAGCAGAGAGAGAGAAATTGGGGCTACAAGTAGAGGAAAATTAGCGACGAATAACAATTCGTCGCTAATTCCGTCGCAAAATAACCACGAATTTTTTTTCGTGGGAAATTTCGTCGCAAATTAGCGACGACATTTATTTTTCGTCGCAAATTAGAAACGGAAAAAGATTCGTCGGCAATATCGTCGCAAATTAGCCACTAATTTTTTTTCGTGGCAAATTCCGTCGCAAATTAGCGACGAATATTTTTTCGTGGCAAATTCCGTCGCAAATTAGCCACGAATTATTTTTCGTGGCAAAATCCGTCGCAAATTAGCCACGAATTTTTTTCGTGGGAAAATCCGTCGCAAATTTTCCACGAATTTTTTTTCATGGTAAATTTCGTCGCAAATTTGCGACAATTTTTAATCCGTGGTCGATTCCGTCGCAAATTAGCCACGAATTTTTTTTCGTCGCAAAATTCGTCGGAAATTTGCGACGAATTATTTTTCGTCGCTAATTTGCGACGGAAAATATATTCATCGCAAATTGCGTCGCAATTATCCACGAAAAATAATTCGTCGCAAATTTCCGTGGCTAAACCCTTGTTTTTTTGTAGTGTAAAACGCCCATAATCTATTGAGATACTCGGAACTATGCCCGTGAGGAAGATTAATCCAACTCTTATCCATATGTCTTTATGATGTGCATAACAATAATCAGTCACAACATGCATAAAATATACAAGGCGAGAAGTAGTTCAACTAGAATATACAAGTTCTCGACTATCTTTCAAAACGATGATTCCACTCTAACAAGAGAACCTTAAACACAAACATCTAAATCGCACAGAACAGAAATCCACCATTAGAACTCACTTCCATGAAGAAGGCTCAACAAAAATCCCAAAATTAATATCTTCAACAACCTTGTTATAGAATCCGAATAGCGAAGATCTCGTAAACAAAATAAATTCAGGCTCACCAATTTCCTTCAAAGAAAATCAAGCAATGATTTATAATGCGCCGCATTCTTCCAAAAGAAATCGCTAGTGTAAGAGGGAGTCATCCAGCACGTAACACAGATTGCGGTCTGTGACAATTGCAACAGAAAAAACAACTCCTTAGAAGAGTTAGGACACAAAAACTTCATAAACACGACAAGATTAGAGAGGGTGATCATTCGACATAAAAGAAAATTCGAGACAGTCACAATAAAGGCAAAAGAAACTCCAACAAGGGACTCGGAAAAACTCCCAATTGCCGAACAATAACCACTTGATCATGGGACAGATACGAAGATTTCTCACCGAACAGAAGCAACTATGCGAGAATCGAATAGTGACGCCGCCATCCCGGTTGAGCAGAGAATCTGAGCAACTAGCAGCTAGGGTTTTTCCCAATACTTTGATTAGGTTTAACTACTAGGGCTACAAGCCATAAGAAAAAGAGAAAACAAGTTTTTCCCCAATATTTTGATGTTGCCTGAAGCTTAAATTATTTGATGTTGCTTGAAGCTTAAATTATTTTTTTCTCCAAATCTCAAAAAAGATAGAAAAGTGTATTCAAGTTGATGTAGATAAGTAATAAGGAAATGAAAAATAAAAACAAAATATATGATATCTTTTCACTAAAATAGTTTCGTATAAAATAAAGTTAAAGAAAAAGTTGTACTTAATGAAAAAAAATCAATTATTTATAGACATCAATGGATTACTTAAAAGTTCTGGAGATTCAATTTTTTATTATATGAGTTGTTGATTGATATGTTGTCTCATCCCCTTTGTTTCCATCCGCTTGATGTAAATCAAGAGTGAAAGTGAAAACAATTTGAAAAAAAATAAAGTTATTTAAAAAGTAAGTGTTGATATTTGTATATTCTATTTCCTATTTTGGAATTCTACTTTGTTCAATTAAAGTGAATCAGTTAACTAGGCCTAATACCCTAAAAAACCTCAAACTTTAGCTTTTGTCTCAATTTTACCTTTTGTCTTCTAAAAAACCTCCAACTTTAGGTCATATCCCAATTCTACCATAAACTTTTTTTTGTCCCATAAAAAATCCTCAACTTTGGATCATGTCCCAATTCTACCATAAACTTTTTTTTGTCCTATGAAAAACTCCTAACTTTAGGCTTGTCCCAATTTTAACGACCAATCCCAATTTTACCCTAAAATTTTTACATTCTTATAAAAATCACAAACTTTTACTTGAGTCACAAATTTACCCACATTGACCCTCCTTCCAAAATTTCACGTTGAAAACCAAGAGATGGAGAACTCTCTAACACAAGCTGTTCGAGCGTCCCGTGTCACGTCCCGACTCGGAATCACGATCGATGCTTAATGACCCGAACATGACCCGAACGGACCCGTGACTCGCGAAAATGTATTAGTTTGTCCCGTTTATTTTAAACAATCAAATGCGCACGCAGAAGCAAATAAACAATAAACGAGACAAACGGGAGTAAGACAAACAAACAACGCACATTGTATTTACAAGATACGTGCTTATTTTTGTCGAGCCTTTCTTTACGGCCCTTACAAGCCACGCACATATTTTACAT